GGAGGGCTCTGGGGGCCCAGATCTGTGTTACTAACATAGTGAGATGGACTCAGCTTGTTTTTGTAAAAAGTCAAACCTTCTGGGACAAGGCTAATCTTTTGCTCAGTCTCTTCCATTTATAAAATCCTGTTCTTCCGGGCACCTGGGGGGCTCAGTCAGTTGAGCGTCTGACTTCGGCTCAGGTCACGATCTCGCGGTTCGTGAGTTCCAGCCTCGCGTCGGGCTCTGTGCTGACGGTTCGGAGCCTGGAGCCTGCTCCGGATTCTGTGTCTCCCTCTCTCTCTGCCCCTCCCCCTCCTCTCAAAAATAAATAAACATTAAAAAAATTGTTTAAGTTGGCATGAAACAAATACTTGAAAATCATTCTGCACATTTGCCTATAACCACCTGTCGTAGCTTCCGTGTGGGTATGTGGTGACCTTCAGTGGGACGTCTGGGGGCAGGTTTGAGCCCCAGACATGTGAGTGAACACCCAGCGAAACTGACCCGCCTTTCCACCTGTACAGTAACTCTCTCCGAATCTATCATTTCATTGTTTTCTTTTTAAAAATTTGTAATTATCTTTAAAAAATGGAAGTACTGTATAAGGGCGCCTGGGTGGCTCAGTTGGTTAAGTGTGTGACTCTTGATCTCGGCTCAGGTCACGATCTCACGGTTCGTGGGTTCGAGCCCCGTGTCGGGCTCTGTGCCGACAGCTCGGAGCCTGGAGCCTGCTTCGGATCCTGCGTCTCCCTCTCTCTCTGCCCCTCCCCTGCCCGCTCTTACTCTGTCTCTCTCTCAAAAATAAATAAACATTAAAAAAACACTAATAACTTCAAATAATGATTACTTCTTGATCTATTATTCATTGATGGATATTTATATTATGGATGTTTTCATACTTTTTGAAATCCTGCATTTGTTAGATCACGCATTTTATTTCTTTGCTTACGTTGTAATTGAGATTGATTTCAAGAATGGTGAATGGGTATTTTCTAAATGTTTCTGAACCATAAAACTTCTGAAAGCTAAGTGTACTGAAATGTTTTCTCCCCTTAGATTTCCAGTGCCTGTTGGGTTTTTACCAGAAGGAAAGTTCACGGCACACGATTACTTACGCTGTCGATGTAGGTCCAGTACAATGGTTCAGTAGAAGAGCCAAGACTGGGTGGCGAGGGAGCCGGGCTACGGCAGGATGAACGGCGAGGAGGAATTCTTTGATGCTGTCACAGGTGAGCGGGGCAGGAAGTGACTCAGAGGCCATGGTGTGCGCACAGGAGCTCGGGTCCGGGTCCTGGACTCGGCCTTGGGATGTGAGGCCATGCAGGAGAGAGACCCGACGTGTCCCCCGGCGTTGACTCGCATGTACCCTATCCCGGCTGCGGGGGAGAAGCTCAGCTTTGGGCCACAGGTGATAACAAGAAGGGGCAACTGGGTTTTAGTCTTTAAAAGAGTTGCCCTGGAGCGTAAATACTGTTATTTGGATCCTAAGTGAGACGGGCAGTTCTCTTATGTTATTTGTACGTAACGATCAAAGCCTCGCTGTCCTCTGTTCTAACCGGATCTTGTTTAGTGCTGCGTAAAGTGTTCCAAGGCTCGTGAGTGTGCGTGCTTCCGCGACGCCTCTTACCGTTTCAGAGTTCAGCTACGTTTCGCTTTTCCTGTGACCATTTTAAGGACTGCTGCGCAGCCTGTAGTCCGAAAGACGATAGTGTATGCCTGACGGAAAACAGTGTGTTGAAGGCATGGGGATTTGTGCGGGGGCGGGGGGCGGGAGGGGCAGGGGAGGGGAGGCTGGGCTGGGTCAGCCCGCACTGGCTCAGCTTGGCTGCTCGCCATCGCCGGGAAGGAGCCCTGAGCACCTGCAGGAAAGTGACAAGTAGCCGTATGGGCCCGAAGACTCTTCAAGTTCAAGACGGCCCTCCATTCTCTGTGGTCAACAATTGGAACGTCCTTTGTCATCTGTTGAGGACTCTTACTGGTGGAAAGGGACTTCGAGAAACTATTCTAGTCCAATTCCCTCCTCCTTAGGTGGAGGAGTATAAAAATAGCAACTTTGAAATATTTCTCCAGACCAGGTTTTTAGTGACGGTCTTTCAGGTGTGGCCAAAGGGGCTACTTCCGTAGTGACTGCTGTGACTGTCCCCTCTGGACACGCTTTCCTGTGTGAATGTCTGTCTCCTGGAGCCCGGTCAGTGTGCCCGGGGCGTTCGTCACTCACCGGCCAGACTGGCCCCTCCTCCCAGACCAGGTTGATGGACCGACAGCCCGACTGTTGACTTATTCTTGTTTGAGATGCAGGCAGCCGGAGGGGCTGAGCTCAGTTACTTGAGTCGTCTTTCCTGGTCTCGTAGCTGCGGTCTTCCTCGAGACTGTGCGCCTGGGAAATGCGCTTGTCCGCCTAACCTACACGGTCCTCAGTGACCGCTTGCGTCGTCCGAGACGTGCTCTGTGGGCCTCCTGGCCCTTGTGGGGCGACCAGGCCTCTAATCAAGAGAGCCGGCCTTGGCGTGCCCTTCCCTTAGGACTCTTGTGGGCAGCTTCCTTCTGCTTGGGACCAGTGGACCTGGACCCCTGAGCGTCTCCAGACTCTGCCTGGAGACTTTTCCCCAGATTGGACCTGAGCTTTGTGTAGCCCGCCGTTTAGAGAAGCGCCCCCCCTCCCCCTGCCCCCGCCTCCCCGCACGGCTGCAGTTCTCTGCACGTCTCTGAGACCCAGGACGCAGCTGTCCACGGAAATGATGGCTCACTTCAGCTCTTTGGTCTAAACCAAATAGTGGGAGACAAGCAGCAGGGCCCCAGGGAGGCACCGTGGAGGACGCAGAATCCCGATCACTTTGCCACAGGACTCACCTTCCTGTGTAATCTAAGGGGAAGTGTTTACGCCCGGCAGTTTTTAGAGGAATGGCTTCGTGGGCAGTTACTTCCTCCAAGAACCGGCACTATTAAGAGGAAAGTTTTCAAAGTACATGGAAAACTTGTACAGATTAAGGGCTACGGAAACAGACCTGTTAACAGCGTGTACCTTTGAGTGATCAGATGACAGGTGATTTCAAGTTTCTCCTTTGTTTATCTGTATTTTTTTCTGTAATAAACACGTGTTGTACGTTAAAATGTTTAAACCGTTTATGTCGTGCCGGCTTAATGTGAGAAAAGACTTCAGCAGGGTTCTCAGTGACGTGTCGCCCTGTTTTCCCGGGCGCAGGTTCGGGCAGTGATTTAGGTGAACGTTTTCCTTCACAGCTGCCGCCTGCAGCCTCTTAGCGTTGACGGCGGGGGGGGGGGGGGGCCCCCCCGGGGGGACAGGGACGCACAGAGGAGGGCACGGGGGTCTCCTTAAGAAGCCAAGTTTGGACTGGGGATTAAGTAGATGTTGCTTTTGTCTCAGTGAGATCAGAGGTGACAGGCTGTTTCAGAAAATGTTGATCGTTAAAGAGGCTTGTTTTTTAATGTATCCTCTCAAAGCCACCATGTGATGAGTGTGGACACTCCATCTTGGGAACCTGTCAATATGGAAAAGTACAAGACAGGACTTTTTTGTGTATCCTCAGGAAAGTGTCGCGGCAGGTTTCTTTATGTTTCGGGCCTGACGGCGTGCTCAACCCGCCTGGCCTTATGCCCTGGGCCTCCCCCTGGTCTGTGAAGGGAGGGGCCAGCGGGAGCACCGAGCTCCCTGTGAGCCTGTGTCCTCCCGGAAACGGTCACCGTCATGGCCAAGCGCCGTGGTCCAGGAGCCCCTCCCTGGTGGCTGCGGCTCACCGAGCTCTTTGTGGCTCTTTGTGGACGTGGACGTGGGGTGTGCTCTGAGCTCCAGCTGGTTCCGTGCTTGGGTTCTTGCTCATGGGTGTGAGAGTCTGGCGGTGTGTTTGCGTGGCACAGGTTCTTGTAGCATCAGTGCTGTGGCTTGTATTTTATTTTATTTTTAAAGTTTATTTTGGCGGGGGGCGGTGGCTCGCAAGCTGGAGAAGGGCAGAGGAAGAGGGAGAGAGAATCCCAAGCGGGCTCTGCGCTGCCAGGATGGAGTCCCGTGTGAGGCTCGATCTCATGAACGGAACCATGAGATCGTGACCTGATCTGAAATCAAGAGTGGGACATTTAACCAGCTGAGCCCCCCAGGCGCCCCCACGGCTTGCATTTAGAAGAGGCGGGGCTGACTGCAGACCTTATGCAGAGACAGGACATTCTGCAGCCTAGAGGCGGGTCTGAGTGCCGGAGAGGCGGCCTGCCCCGAAGGGCGTGAGCCCGGCCTGAGACCCGGGCACACCGCGCTCCCCGGCCTCCCAGCCAGACCTCAGGTGGCGGCCAGGCTGCACCGGGTGCACAGGGCACCCGTGCTGTCTGAGCTCCTGGGGAAGCCCCCAGAAGCGTTCCTACCTCCGCCTCTGCCTCGGGTTCTTGGGGACCAGAGCGAATTGTGGCAAAATGCGCCCGTTAGGAATGAAGTAGAGCTTCCGGTATTCCGCGCTCAGAGCTCCTGGAGCTGGGCCTCCGTGTCCCCCCGGCCCTGGAAAAACTACCACTCTGCTTGTGTGCAGGCTTCGATTCTGAGAGCTCTTCCGGGGGATTTTCAGAGGCAAGTCAGAGAGTCGCTGCGGTGATGTGTGTGGACTCCGGCAGAAGTAACGGGGTCGGAAAGGCCGGGGAGAGGCCCCCTCGAGAAAATGGAATTCAGAAGCACAGGTACGTCATCGTGCGCGCGTTTTAGAATCTTCCGCTGTATCTGTGACGCCCTGGCCGTGCCACAGGGTGCTCCTTCAGCTCTCCTGAGTCCCGAGGCCAGGGGTGACCCAGCCATGGTGCCCCCGGACAGCATCCCCTGGTGCCCTGTTCAGCCACAGATTCTGAGACCCGACGCCACTCTCCTTGGCTCCTGGAGGTCAGTGATGGCACTTCCTTGACTGCTGATTCCGGTCCCCGCCCCAGGACTTGCGGGGTGGACCGGGGGGGAGGGCCGCCCTCCTGTTGCCCCCTGCAGACCACCTGCCTCTCAATGTCACACTGCCTGTCTGCCCTACGGTTTGGAAATGGGTGTTTAGAGCAGCAAGTCCCTCTTTCCTTTTCCCCACATTTCCTTTTCCTTCCGAGTTAGATTCTGGAGACAGTGACCTAAGTCTTCCCCAGCAGAAGTGAGGACAAGGGCAAGACAGGCCCCGCGAGGCGGTGGCGGTGGGCAGGCGGCCTCTGTCCCCCACCACGCTGACTTGCTTTGCAGCTTGAGGGAGCCCCGCAGCCTTACCGCAGCCCCTGCTCTGGGCCCTAGACCCCAGCGCCTGCTAGATGCACGCAGCGGGGGACTCGGGCGTCCTGCCCCTGCCTGTCGGCTCGTTCTCCCGGCAGGCGTCGGAGCACCTCCGCACGTGTGCTCCGATGGCCTGTCCTAGAGTGGGTCATGCTCTGCTGTCCTCCGCTCAGTGCCCCATGAATCTGGTTCGCGTGTCGGCCTAACACCGTCCTCCTGCCCCCGCACATTGTCGCCCAGCTCTGACATGTGGTCCCGTTACGCACGTCTGGGCTCCTCAGCCTTCCCGGCTCCTGTGTCACATCCCAGTCCGGCCGCCTCTCCTGCGCCCCTGTAGCGCCCGTAACTGCCTCCACACCCTCCCATCTCCCCTCCACCCTGCGGGCACTAGACAGGTCTGAATGCACTGCCTCTGCCTCTCGGCCAGTGTCTGCGTGGTCGGTCCCCAGTGATGGTGAACGGAGCGCCTTGGCTGGGAGAGGGGACCGCAGGGTCACTCTCCTCTTGGGATGAGGGCCGGCCCTCTGTGTTCCTCTGGCTCCGGCCCCGGGCCCGTTCGTTGTCGCTGGTCCCAGCCGACAGGGGCCTCTTTGGAGTCCTCAGGTGCATCCAGCCCGTTCCCACAGTGGAGCCCCATCTGCCCTGCTACCTTGGCCCCCGGCCCCCTCCTCCTGCTCTTCCCTCCTGACCCTTGCCAATGGGTCCAGCACACCTCCCCCCAACGCTAGCTTCACAGCCCGCTCAGGCACCCCTCTTTCCCAGGTGGAATCGTGTCTCATCCCAGCCCAATTCCTGGCAGGGAGACTGCCAGGCCTCCCCGGGAAGCTGGCAGGAAGAGAGCCTGGAGAGGAATGAGCCTCAGGAGAACAAACTTGTATTTGAAAGGGACTCCCGGCAGGCTCCCGGCAGACTTCCGAAAGGTTTTGTTCACGCGGCTCTGTCTTGTGCCTTCCTGGCCCGGCCTCTGCCGTGGTCACCGTCCTTTCCTGGAGACCCTCCAGGATGCCTGTGCAGAAACCTTTCTTTAGGACTTAACAGCACTCAGGCTGCCAGAGCAGACACATGGCCGGTGTTTGCATCTAAAAACTAAAAAAAAAAATGGTCACTGGGCAAACTCATCAGTTGTGAGTGAACCTGGTGCTGGAGGGACCAACCCGTGTCACTCTCGTCGTTCTTCATAGGACGTCATTGCCTGCCCCGATGTTTAGCAGAAGTGACTTCAGCGTGTGGAGCATATTAAAGAAATGCATCGGCCTGGTAAGTTCGGAGGGACTCATTTCAGGGCCTGAAGCTGAAACATCTTCAATTCCTGGGTATCTGTTGCACTGCTGATAGTTTAGGGAGACGTGCTCTGCACATTTGTAGCACGAGGACGATAAGATAGGACCGGGACAGACGTGGGGCGGGGGAGAGAAAAGGCGCGAAGGCTAAGGTGTTCACAGCCAGCGGGAACGTGATCCCACAGGCAAGCCTCCTGACGTGAGACGCATCACAGGGGTTTACGTTGACCCTGGCGTTCTGTGACGGGCTCACGGTCGGCTTTGGACGGTCCGCACGGCGTGGGGAGCTTCCGCGGGCTGCTCGACACAGGCTGAGGGCGAGCCACGGGCAGGAGTGCGGGACCTGGGGCACAGCTCAGATGCTCAGGGTTTGCATCAGGGTTTGCTCAGAGGAGGTGGTTGGATAATCGGTGTCCCGGGGCCGCAGGCTTCTTTTCTCGTGGTCCTGCGTGACGGGACTGTCACCGTCTGGGAATGTGAGCTGTGCCCCCCTCGGGAGGGCAGGGCGCACCGCAGGCCGTGGGTTGTACCAACAGCGTCGTATTGACAGGCACGCGGCCCTGTCCCCCGTGCCTCCCACGCGTGCTGCCACCGCCGTTTATTTCTGCCCTCGTCTTTCAGCCCCTTTCCCGGAGGAAACTGCTTCTTTTCTCCCACTTTTTATTTTGAAGTAACTTTGGACTTCTAGACGGTGGCGGGTGGTACTTTGAGCTGTTTGCCCTTCGCCCGGCTTCCCGTTGTGGTGACGTCTCATGTAGCAGCCGGGGCTCGGTGAGCGAGACGCCAGCGTTCCTGTCGGAGCGTCACTGCTCACCATGCACTTGACTTGGCTTTCCTAGTACCCCCTGCTGTCTTCGTACTGGCGGCTGGTGTTTAGGCACCAAGGGCTGGCGCGGGATGTGCTTGGCGCTCCTGGGGTGACCCTGCCCCAGGCCTCTCGGCAGACAGAGCTGGAAAGCCCAGGCGTGCCTTCTGACCCTGCTTCTGCACACACGGGTTCGTGTACACACCTGTTTGGCTTTTTTTATGTTTTAATTTTTTAAGATTTTTATTTTCAAGTAACCTCTGCACCCAGCAATGGGGCTCCAACTCACAACCCGAGACTGAGTCACTCCCGCTAGGCGCCCCACACGTCTCTTGTCTTCTAAAATGGCACGCTTGGGATTCTTTTCTCTTAGCAGTGTTTTCTTCTACATTTCTGGCTGTGTGAGCAGGTCAGGTCTAGGCGGGTGTATCTGTCTGAAGATAGGTGTTGAACTTGACTAGCTCCTTGGTCGGGCGCCTGGGGGGCTCTGTCGGTGAAGCGTCCAACTTTGGCTCAGGTCATGATCTCACGGTCCGTGAGTTCGAGCCCCGCATCGGGCTCTGTGCTGACAGCTTGGAGCCCGGAGCCTTCTTCGGATTCTGTGTCTCCCTCTGTCTCTGCCCCTCCCCGGCTCGGGTTCTGTCTGTCTGTCTGTCTGTCTCTCTCTCTCAAATAATAAACACTGACTAGCTCCTTGGTCCTGCAGCTTCTTGTCATAAAGCGACACCATCACATTGCCTTCCCCAAGGACCCGCCGTAGGGTGGATTCGGATTAACACGTGGGTCGGCGCGTCCCCGGGCTACGCCGGCTCGGCACCCACGGGCTTCGCCTCTGGGGTGGCACACGGCCCTCTTCCTCCTTCGCCCACTGGGACGGCGGCCCCGGGCTGGCCAACGGGCCGCTGAGGCAGGCAGGGCCGGGGAACACCGCCGCGCCTCGCCGCTGCCCGCCTCTCCTCGTAGTTTGAAGCAGACCCCACTCGTGAATACTTTTCGTGTTGCTGAAGGATTCAGATTCTCTTTACCACCAGCACGGCCACCCTCACACTTCAGAAGGCCACGCATTAGCACCATCCGCTACCCACCGGGTCCAGACCCCGGCTGTCCGAGCACCATTCTGTCTGTGCTTCTGCCATCTGTGGTGTTACCTCCCTCCCGACTAAGAGCTCCTGGCGCTCGGGCCGGTGCTGTCACTCTTCCTTGATTTCCTGGGACGTTTCTGTGCCGAGAACGTGCCCTTCTACGGCCGCCAGTGCGGTTTGCAGAAGAAAGTCAGGGTCAGTGAGTGATTCTCACTTTATCACGGTCACCACGTGATGTGATTCACTAGCATGACCCAGCATGGCCAGTGTAACCAACTAGCTTGTCTGTGTTTCTTTTTTTTCAAACTCACGGAGTCAGACCTCCCCGGTGCATTCCAGCCCCCGAGCCACTCCCTCTTTGGCGGTTAATAGCCTCTTCGGCTTGGCCGTGATCCCTTATAGACGAAGCTCTGGCTCTTTCTGTCCCTTTCTCGTCCAGGATCTGGAGTCGGCCGCTTGTGCAGGGAGAGAGAGGACTCAGGACCACAGCTGGGCCCTAGGGGTAGGGGGTGGGCTATGAATTGCTGTTCTAGGTCTTTCTGGGGGGAGAGCTACGAGCTGTTTGGATTTGTTTCAACGACGGTTGAAATCTGGGATGACGGGATTACTCCAGCCCCCTCGGTCGAATGTCTGTGCCTCTTTCCCCCACACCGACGATCCCAGTTTCTAACGACAGTGCAGGTGACCGATTTAGACCAGCACTCAATTAATGACTCACCTGCTCTATCCCACACACACGACGGTTCCGGAGGACAGGACCACTTCTGCCGCCACCAGCGTGTGTGCTGACACGTGGGAGTTGGTTGCCTTTTGTGGGTCGTTTTGTCCGGAGGGTGTGTCTCCGGTCACCGTGCTTGGAGTTACCTGCCGTGGTCCCCGTCCACGTGGCTGGGCCCCCAGAGCTTGCGTGCGCTCATTTGCTTCTTTTGTTCTTGATGTTTAGACATTGGTTTTCTAAATTACTTTTGTTCAAAATCATAAACCTAAAGTCAGATCTCTGGGCTGAGGTTCCAAGAATCTCCCTTCCTGTTCCTGCCCTCGCGCTGCACTGGCCCTTCCCCTCGAGGAGACCATTTCCACCCTCCGTGGTCTGTCTTCCCGTGCCTCCTGAGGGGACCGTGTGTCATCTCTTCCCTCTTTCTTCAGACGAACCAGAGGCTTTTCCGCCTGTTTCGCTGCGTGGTGCCACAGCCACGTGGAGCCACTGCTTAGGCTTACGGTCACCTCGCAGTGCCGTGCCTTCTGGCCGCCTATCCCTGTCAGATGTCTGCTGTGTGTTTGCCAGAGCATCTGTGGGGCGGGCTCCTGGAAACGGGGCCGCGGGACCAAAGGGCAGGTGCACACGCGCTTCTGCCGTGGTGCCCCGTCTCCAGGCGGCCCCCTTCTGCACCCCCACCGGCTGTGGGGGCCTCTCTCTGTCCTGCCCTGCCCTGCCCGTGGCCCGTGTGCAGTGCTGCTGCTCGAACAGGCGAGCAGGCCGGGTCTCCACGGGGTTGACTTCCTTTCTCCTAACGAGCTAGACGAGCATCCTCCCTGCGCTCAGAGCGGGGCGGGCGTGGGCTCGGGTTCCTGGGGACAGTCCCGTGGTGATGAGTCTTCACTGGCTCCTTCCAGGAGCTGTCCAAGATCACCATGCCCATCGCCTTCAACGAGCCTCTGAGTTTCCTCCAGCGGATCACGGAGTACATGGAGCACGTGGACCTCATTCACAGAGCCTCCTGCCAGCCCCAGGCCCTGGAAAGGATGCAGGTGGGCTGTGGGCCCCTTCTGGGGGCGCCAGACATGAGACTGTGGTGTTCAGTGAGCATGACGCCACGTGAGTGGCCCCGTGGTGATCGGCCCGCGTGGCTCCCGCTGACTCCTGGGTGCCGTCCTGCCCTGTGCCTCGGCTCCTCCTAGGTCTGCTCGGGACCGGCCCCCCTGCCCCCCCCCCCCGTTCCTCCCACCGCGTGTGGGTGCGGCCACCCCGGCCGACCTGGCGCGGGGCCTCGGGGCTGCCCGGGCTGGGGAAGGGGGGCACACGGTTCCTGCCCGTGTGGTTTGAGGAAGTGCTCGTGCTGAAGGGCGTTTCCCCGGAAGTTCTGTAATCTCAAAACACGTGACAAGGGAGACTCGTGCCACCAGGAGCACATCTGGCGCGGAGAGGCTGCACGTCCCCCCCCCCCCCCCGTCGCCCCCCACTCACCGTCCTGTGCGCTGTTCCCAGTGCGTTGCTGCCTTTGCGGTGTCGGCGGTGGCTTCCCAGTGGGAGAGGACCGGCAAGCCCTTCAACCCGCTCCTGGGAGAGACGTACGAGCTGATCAGGTAAGGGGTCGGGGCCGCGGGCGCCCGGCACGGCTGCGCAAGGGTGAAGCGGAGCGCCGGGCTCCGGAGAGGAGGGGAGGCGACAGGTGACGGAGAGGCGCTGGCTCGCCTGGAACCCACGTGGACACAGGCCCTCGGGCGTGAGGCCGGTCCACGTCAGCAGGGCATCTGGTGACTGTCGCCAGGGCAGGTGCAGCTGCGGGCAGTAGCTCCCGTGTGCTGGCGAGGGGCCGGGTGGGGTTTCTGCCGGGTGGCTCCCCATGCTGCCCCCCCGACCTGGTCTTCTGACCTGGTCTTTGAGCCCCACGCACGCCCCAGAAACGGCACGGCCTGTGGCGGTCCTGGCGGGGGCCCCACGAGGGTGGACCGGGCCTGTTTGGGGTGCTCTTTCCCGACCCCGCTGCCCGCGTGAGGTGCCCACCCAGACCAGCAAGTAAATCAGCGGACGGAGGTGCTGTGCTCCCCGCCGTCTGCTCAGCCCGGCTGGGGCTCCTCTGCGGGGCCGTTCGGGGCTCCCTCCGGGTCCTGTAGAGAGTCTGTGGGGGTGTCTTAGTAAATGAAAGCGTAACTTCAGCGATAAGAGCACACCCTTTTTAGAAGACGCGTGAGTTGAGAAAAGCGAAAAGGGAGATGTCATCCCACGGGAGACCGTGAAGGTTGTGGTCGATTTCCTCGAGGCATGCACGTGTGTGGTCTGTCAGTTAGCATCGTGCCATCGTCATTCCCCACGGTGTCACAGGCTTTTGCTAAGTTACGCTGCCACGTTTTGTGTCTGGCGTTTGCGTGCGCCCCAGCTTCACGCACGCACCGCCCCCTTGCGCCGCGGAGTCGTGGCGGCGTGCTGTGTCGTCACGGTGTCTTGATCTGAGGGAGCCCTGCGGGTTGTGCTTCTCGGGCCGTTTATTGCCCTTAATGGCCGAGTTGTTCATGATGAGAGTTTCTCAAAGGTGAGTAAGTGGTTGTGGACGGGGGGTGGGGGTGGGTCTGCCTGAGTCAGCGCACCGGGCGCGTGCGGCTCAGGGAAGCGTGTGCCGGGGTGTGTGTGTCAGCACTGTTTTCACACCTTTGCGGGAGGAGTCGGCAGTGTTAGCAACACAGGCGTAAATCACCTCCCACTCGGGACGGTGGCACAGATGTCCGGGTCCAGGCTCTGACCTGTTTCTGGCCGCCCGGGGCGGCCCTGCCGCTGGCCCCTCTGCATGCCGCTGGCCTGGTTTTCTCACGGACGGAGATGTTGGCTGCCGCTCGGTGCACGGGCACCTGCTTTCGGAACCCCGCTGCCTTTGAGGCAGCCGGGCGGGTTAGAGGCACGGTGCTGCCGTGGGGGTCCGTGCAGGCGACCCTGGGTGACCGTGGCAAGTCCCTGCTTCTTCAGTCCAGAGATGGGGGACCTGAGGCCCAGGTGAGGGAAAGACCTGCCCCGAGACTCACTGTTCAGAGGAACTTTTGTTGTGAGTTCCCAGAGAACGCTTTCTTTATCAGCCACGCCTCTGCTGCCTCCCCACGGTGCATGTGTCCTGGTGCTGGGGTGGGTGGCTCTGACCTTGTCTAGCCACCAGGAAATTATTGGCGTTTTCGTTATTAAAAAGCACCATTAACATATCTTGAAAAGAGGAATTAAAGCTGATACGAAAGAAGTTCCAGACGACGGGAAGTGAGCACATGGGTTCACAGACAGCATGACCCACGATCCACGACCCGTGGTGCTGACGGCCACCCCTGATCATCAGTCACTTCCAGGATTTGGCTGAGGGGTTGAGGCGAAGCCCCGGACTGACCGAGAAACGAGCATCTTCCCGGGCGTGCAGGCCCGTCTTCGGGTCCAGGTCGCACTGCGGCCGCGTCTGCTGCACGCAGGGCCCCGAGGGCCCTTCCGGTCTGAGGAGCTTTGTAACTAAACCAAGTCGTTCTCCAGTGTCTTCTTCCCTACAGATTGCTCCTCAACGGCTAAAAATAGCACTTTCTTTTCTTAGACAAGTATTCATTTTGTAAATTACATACCTTGGTTGGCAACCTTTTAAAATCTAATTTTTCAACTTTCCTTCCTCTGTAACGATTGGAAATTCTGATTCCAGTTAAGTTAGTAATTATGTGGTTTAGCTTTTATAATTTTTAACGACTACAACTGTAGGTGTATTCACAGTTCCGGAACAATTAAAAACTGACATTTTTATTGAAAAAGAGCATATACTAAAAATCCTGTTTCCTGGCCCAGGAGTATCTTGGGGCATCAGACATGGCATGTCACAGAACTTCCAGGAGCCCTAGCAGGGACTAGAGGAGGGCCCCCTTCGGGAAGGCCGCGAGCTCCCCACTCTTGCGGGTCTTGGGCGCTGGGTGCCCCTTGAGGGCTGAGGTGGCCACATCTAAATCACTGGCTCTAGGAGTTTTCTTCTAGGCCTGCACGTGCTGGGGGCAGCGTGAGTGGAGGCCCCTCACACTCTTTCTCCTTCCATGTGGGGTTCAGATTTGCCCAGAGGCGGTGGGTGCACATGCAAGTGTCTGGGGGGGGGGGGCGGTCAGTGTCAGGCCAAGGGTGGCGTCAGAGAGCGAGTGTTGAATATTTCTGTCACTCAGGGTGGCCAGGGGCTGCGGGGCTCCCCCAGGAGGTGTGCCGAGCCAACCTTTGTCGGATTTCGCTGTCACTGATGTGCTCTCTCCCTCTTGTTTTTGTGCCTAGGGAGGATTTAGGGTTCAGATTTATATCCGAGCAGGTGAGCCACCACCCCCCGATCAGTGCATTTTATTCAGAGGGCCTCCACCAGGACTTCTTGTTTCACGGCTCCATCTACCCGAAGCTGAAGTTCTGGGGCAAGAGCGTGGAGGCCGAGCCCCGGGGCACCATCACGCTGGAGCTGCTCAAGTGAGTGCGGAGGCCGGGGGCCTGGCGGGCGCCTTTCTTAAGTTCCAGCGGAAGGGTCTTTCCCCCGGCAGACACTCTTTCGAACAGGCAACGCCCCCCAGACCCCTCATCGGGACTGGGTGTGACGTGGGCGTCTGGGACAGCCCCCGAGGACCTGGATGGCTTTAGTCACTGCCTGTGGTGGTCCTGCCACTTGGTGACGAGCCGCACGTAGCACCTTACAACAGCCACTCTCTCCTCTGCCACGTGGTTTCCGAGGGCTAGGGCCGGGGTGGGGGGCGGCGTGGCGGGCGCTCTGGCTCAGGGTCCCGTGAGGTGGCGGGCAGGACGCGGGCCGAAGGCGGCTGGTGGGACGTCTGCTTGTAGGCCCCCTTCCGTGGCCGTTGGCGGGAGGCCTGGGGGTGCTCACAGCGGGGTGCTGGCATCCACCAGAGCTGGGGACCCAGGGGGGATGGAGCCACGGTGTCTCTTAGGACCTCATCGCAGAAGTGGCCTCGCCCTGACCTTAAACCCTCGTTGGTCACGAGGACCACGCTGCTTGAGGGTGGGAGGGAGACACGGATGAAACCTGGGAGGTGGGGGACTTTGAGGGGCGTCGTGGAGGCTGCCCGCACACCCATGAAATCTCAGTCCAAACGCTCCCCAGTGCGGTGTTGTTCGGACCCCTTGCAAAGCAAAAGCCCAATCTCTAGCAGTCGCGTGGACGTTGCAAAACCAGCGTAGACCCAGTCTAGGCCACGGCGTGCCGCAGGCTCCCTGAGATGCACGTCTTGCTAACCGTGGCCCGCCGTGATGAAGCACGGGGTATGATTTTTGTTTCACGTTGGCCCAGCCTGGCTGGTTGCCGGAGAATACCAGCCCCTGACCCCCGTGTACCTCAGGGCTGATGGGGTCACCAGGTGCAGTGAGGGCACCCCATTTCTGGGGAGCTTTCTTGGGGCGGGGCTTGCAGAATTGAAACGTGGCAAATCTTATTGATTAATGCATTTGAGTTTCCCCTGGAAATTTGAGGGGCCCCGAACACTTGTCCTGAAATACTTCTGCTCTGAGCTAGTCTCTGCCCTTGATCATGGCTCTTTGACACGGCCTCCCTCGAGACACGGGTCTCATGAACTTGCATCACATCCGTGGGGGTTCTTTTCTCCTTGGGTCAGGCCACTGGGGGAGGATGAGGGATATGAGCAAAGGCGTCTGGGAAGGCATTCCGAACGGAGCTGCTCCCCGGACCTCGGGCGGGGTGCGGGCCGTGCGGCTCCTGCAGGCGCCAGCTGAAGAGGCCATTGTGTGGACAGCTTCCCGGGACAGCCTTTTCTCTTTGTCTCGGTGGTCTCCTGTTGCTTATTAACTTGTCTTGACATTTAAGTAGAAAGCTTTGTTGATGCTACAAAGGAAAGCAGAAATAAATTTCAAACAAATGCTAAGTAAATAGCCGCTGTTCGAGGGAGTTCAAAGCGATATTCTGCTCCGGCACAGCTTTTAAGGCAATCACGGCTTAATTCTGTCTGGTATTTTGCTTTTTAGGGTCACGCAGTGCTTTTGTTTGCTGGCGTCTGACTTCGTGTTTTCTGGCATCTTTCACAGACACGATGAGGCTTACACCTGGACCAACCCTACCTGCTGTGTGCACAACGTGATTATCGGGAAGCTCTGGATAGAGCAGTACGGGACGGTGGAGATTGTAAACCACAGGTAACGGCACCGGTCGTGCGCCAGTCGGACACCGCGCCGAGCTCTAGACGCGCTTGCCGTGAGCTCGGGGACACGCTTCCGGCCTGCTCCGGGCTGCCATTCAGGCTGTCGGGGTTCGGCGCGCCTGCGGGAAGAGCCAGGCCTGGGGGTGGCCGCCACGGTGCCGGTCGGTGGTGGCATCATCTTTGTGCCCCTGCTTACCTCTTGTTTTGGTTTCAGTCACAAGAGTGAATTGATTTTGAAATTGTAAATGACACTAAAGAATGATGGGATTCCCACGTGAAACATCCTCAAATACTGACCTCTGTCCACCCTCGAACCTTCCTCCTGGAAGTTCGTGAAATAGCGGCTTTGTTTTGCAGCAGCTTTATTGAGATACAATTTGCATACCGTAAAATTCACGCATTTAAGTGAGTTTCGGTGTATCTACTGAACTGTACCGTCGCCCCCAGGCAGTGTCAGAGCATCTCCGTCACCCCAGAAAGGTGCCCCGCGCCCATCGCCGTCACTGCCTGACGCCCCAGCCCCGGCCACCCCGGGGGTCTCGGTTCACCTTTCCCAGACATTTCGCGTCGTACGACGGAAGCCTGTGTTTGTTTTTCCCGCAGAACTGGTGATAAGTGTGTGCTTCATTTTAAACCATGTGGACTGTTTGGAAAAGAACTTCACAAAGTGGAGGGGCACATCCAGGACAAAAAGTAGGTCTGCGTCCGGGTGGCTCACCGTGGGCGGCGCGTGCGCCCCTTGATGGCGATGTAGTCATGCCAGTGACGTTTTTTCACACTAGAAAAGATTATGACTCTGTTTGGTTTAGAGAAGACGCTCCCTCGCTGGGTATACAGAGAGACGAAGGGTTAGTTTTAAGTGTCGTTTCCGGGCGGTGAGTGATCGGGGTCTGTCTCGCCCTCTCCGGAGGGGGAGAGGTCTGGGTCTGACTCCTTTTGCTAAAATGGACGTGAGGAGATGAGGTGCTCTCACTGGGAGGAAACGCTGTGCTTTTGCCAACAGAACTGAGGTGGAAGACGTGACCACGCGTCTCCTCCGTGGCGGTGTCTGCCTCGTGTTGCAGACACAGCTCAGACCGTGGTGGGAGCCTCCGTTCCACGGGCCGGCTCGTGGCACTCTGTGAGTTAGAGACTTTTTAAGTGTTGGACCAGAGACACGGTCAGAAGTTCCCAGTAGATTTTCCGGGGTTCTCTCTCCTTTGGGTTATTTCAAAAAACATTTTTTGTAATGTTTACTTATTTTTGAGAGAGAGAGAGAGACAGAGCGTGAGTAGGGGAGGGGCAGAGAGAGGCGGAGGGTTGGGCGGGGACACAGAATCCGAAGCAGGCTCCAGGCTGCGAGCTGTCAGCACAGAGCTTGACTCGGGGCTGCGAGACCGTGACCTGAGCCGAAGTTGGACGCTTGACCGACTGAGCCGCCCGGGCGCCCCGACCTTTGGGTTGTTTTATCTTACGTTTTTGGCCTCAGATTTCTCACTTTATATTCCCCAGTCAGGAAATTGGGATTTGTATAATGTCATGAAACCCCTTCCACCTCCTAAAAACTAGACATTTTTTCTTTCTTTCTTTCTTTCTTTCTTTCTTTCTTTCTTTCTTTCTTTCTTCTTCTTCTTCTTTTTTTTCTTTTTTTGAAGTAGCCTCCATGCGAACATGGGGCCTGAACTCACCACCCTGACATCGAGAGTCAGGTGCTCTACCCACTGAGCCAGCCAGGTGCCCCACCTACGTTTTAATTAGAAACAAGTTTCCAGTGTAAAACGGTGGGTGCTGTTTCTTCTTCTGCTGAGTACCAGAAAGTCACCTGTTCAAACAGCCTGTCAGATGCTTTTAGACTTTAGACTCTGACCGCCGTGCCCACTGAAGTGAGCCGGGGTTCAGCTCGGAGACCCTTGCAGAACAGCAGCCCTCTTCAGGACAAGGGCACCGGCCAGTGCCCCGAGCAGCCCGTCCCTGGTGGTGGAAACAACCCAGAGAGAGACCGTGGTCCGCGTGAAACGGGCCTGCAGAAACGGGCCACTCCTCACCGCCACGCGCACCGTCCCGGAGGGTCTGCAAACCCTGTTCTGATTTTTTGATTTTCCGTCCCAAACTGGAGTGAGCTCTTGCCTAACGCCGTGCCTCTTGGGGACAGAATATGTCGGCCAAGGTGACTAAGTCCTGAGTGAGGACTGGCCGAGTGTCCCCCACCAGTCCCCGCGTGGCCACTTTCCGGGCTGAGCCCGAGGCAGGGGTGCCCGCCCTCCCAGAAATGTCACACGCCTGGCAGAACAGCATCTCCAGGGGGTGCGTGGCCACCGTGCTCTCCCCGCAGGAAGACACAAAAAAGACAAAAAGAAAAAACAAAAAACAGTCCAGCGCTGTTGGCGTTGTTCCTTTTGGAGTCCGGCAGAGCGCTCTGGTGGTTGATCTGGACAGTTTCCAGAGGTCGTTAGGAAATGAAGCAAGCAGACGGGTACTGATGTGGGCATCCGATCTGTGGATATGAAGATAAAGCAGACAATGCCAGCTGAAATTGCGAGGGCTGTTGATGTGATTTGTAGGAAAGGGAAGGACACGGTCTTGGAGGTTCATGTATTTCAAGGGCAGTGGCCGGACCAGCACGTGGGTTCCAGCGAAACCTTCCCTTTTTCTCACCTTTTCTTGTCCACACTCGTGGGGGCTTGTGCCCTTATCTTCTTTCTGCTTTGGCAGATTAGGCCCGAGGGGGGACCCTCAAAGGCAGATTTTCCTCTTCACACCTCTGTCCAGAGAGGTTCTAAAATTTACAAGGAGACAAACCAGAATGGGAATGTACTCCACGGTCACGGTCACAATCGAGGTGCTGCCTGTTTAGATGAAGGGTTTATAATTGCTGTAAACATGGTTTTAAAAATTCCCTTTGATGGGACGCCTGGCTGGCTCAGTCAGAAGAGCACACGGCTCTTGATCTCCAGGTCGTGAGTTTGAGCCCACGTTGGGTGTAGAGATTGCTAAAGGTAAATAAAAAAAACCTAAGCAAAATAAAAATTCCCTTTGACTACAGCAAAAAGAAGCTCTTTATGATCTATGGAAAATGGACAGAGTGTTTGTGGGGAATAGACCCTGCTGCGTACGAGTCCTTCAAGAAGCGGGAGAGGAGAGGCGACCACCTGAGCAAGCCACAGCCGGTAAGGTGCTGCCCCCGGGGTGGGGGGGTGGGGGCCCGAGGCGGGGAGGGCTTCAGAGTCGAGTGCGGGGGGAGTCTGCCTTCCCTCTGCTGGGCCTGTGGGGTCCCAGCTGGAGAGGATGAAGGCCTGGAATCCGCCCGTCCGTCCGTGTGCTGCTCGGGGCCTCAGTTTACCTGCGTCTCTGTGTGCAGAGGCTGCTGCCGTCAGCCGGGCTCGGGGGCCACTTGGTACGCCATGTCCCCCAGGCCTGGCAGAGCCCAAGTGCACCTACGTTTCTTTCTGGGAACGCCGTGCTCCGGGTTCTTCTTTGTAAACCTCCTGTCTCCCAGCACCTCGTTAGCTTAGACCTATTAAAAAATCAAGACTGTCATGTCTGTGTTTTCAGTTCTGAGCACCAGGTAATATATTCCACAGTTGGGAAGTTTTGGCAAGGATACTTCCCCCCCCAGAGCTTTGGAATACTGATGATCTCAGGGCTAAAACTAGAAGTGGTAGCTCAAAGGAAGGGTCAGGTTGTTCGAGGTCAGAAGAGAGAGTGGGCCAGGCCCAAGGCGTCCAGCCTCCCCCAGGGTGTCGGTGGTCCGGCCCTGTGGCATCGCCTGAGTGCTGCTGGACACCTTCCAACGTGCTCTTTGACTTTAAGAAGCAAAAGGAACGTTCCATGTGAAGACCACACAGACTTGGAATGTGAAATGCCCGGAGGGGTGGCTTTTGGTGCCTTAGTTTAGCTTCGTTGTCCTCTGGGTGACTCGACATGAGACAGACTTGTGTGAGCACTTGCCCGGGAGCAGCCTTCTGTAGCTCCTGGCACCAAACCCCGTAGCCTGCGGCCAGCAATACCGAGCCCCGTTGGACGTCGGCCGGGAGGGTCCCGAGGCCGCGTCGTCATGTCCCCGGGTTCTCCCGCAGCAGCTGCGGGGGCGGCCACTGCTTCCTTCTCCGGGTCTCGCTGCTTGGGAAATGTGAGGGTGGTTGCATTTCGTCTTCAGATGTGGTCTGCAGGCGGGGTTCAGTCTAGAGGTGCTAAGGGTCCATGAGGTCGCCCGGCGTGAGCGGTTCCGGCGGAGGGCCGAGCTGCGGCGTGTGGGGACTGGCTCCGGCCGGGGAGGGCCGCACCCCGCCTGGCCGCCGCTGTAGAAGGCCCAGCCCCCCAGCCCCACCTGCCAGCCGGCGGCTCCCTAGGTGTTGGTGTGTGCTCTCCCTGGGGGGGGTGCGCTCCTGTGCTGCTGACTTCCTGCCCTCTGGGGGAGCCCCAGCACGGGGAGCCCCTGCAAAGAGAGCATCACGGCATCTCCTCCCTTACCAGAGAGCCCATCTTGCCCTGCATGACAGTCGCTCCGAGAGTAGCTGTCCCACCTGGCCGGCCGGCCCACGGTGTTCTGTGTTTCAGGACGACAGCTCCCAGAAAGCTGACGGCGACGTGGCGGATGCCGTGCCCGAGGTTCAGGAGACTGTGCAGGTCATTCCAGGCAGCAAGCTACTCTGGAGGGTCAACACTCGGCCCCCCAACTCTGCCCAGGTCCGTACCCCCGACCCCCGCCCCTCTCCGCACCCCTGACCCCTGGCCAGGCCAGACCCGTCAGCGGTTCCCCGGCCCCGTGTCCGCGCCGCCTAGGATCTTGCTTCCGCAGAGTGAGCCTCCGAGGGCTCCCCGCCCTCCCGGAGCCCCAGTCAAGCCTTGGCCACGGCCTGGCCTCCCCGGGGCAAAGGCAGTGCTCCGCCAACATGTCGTGTGGGTGTGCTGCCGTGCCCGACCCGCGGTGAGACAGGTGCCCCGCGTGCACACGGTACCTTCTCTAGGTGGCCTGCACCGACTGGGTCTCACTGAAAGGGGCTTCCAGACTGCTTTTGAGAGATTATTTTCCCGACTTGTCGGTTTAGATGCTTAAATGCCTTTTGGTACTTATGTTTGAAAATACGCTTATAATTTATATTGCACATGATAAGCTTATTACATCCTGTGTGATAGGGTGCAGTATAGAGGGTGACTGTATAAATGTAATAATTTTGTGTAGTAACTTTTATTTTAATATCTCGTTCATACGTAAAACAATACGGAGTACATGTGAAGTATACCTTCACTCCTATCACCCTACCAGACCACAGTAAAAAGGAGACAGAACCCCCACCTACACGGACGTCACCTCGACGCAGCCACTGCTGGCTCCCAGCAGAGTGTAAAATAGTCCGACCCAACAGGGCAAAGGTGTACTTCTTGCCAGGAAATTCCTCTTACAAACAACACTTGTTCCTCCTCCCTGTGGTTCGTGTCTGTGGACCCAGGAGTGGAGCTGGAGGGCCGGCAGGTGCGGGACAGTGAGGAGGCGCTGGGGGCCTTCCCAGAACCTGACGTGGGGGGGGGGGGGGGGGCGGCTGTGGGGCTGCGTCTGCACAGACTGTGGGGCAGAGCGTGGACCGGCAGGAGTGGCCAGGACCCAGCTGCCCCGAGCGGCCTAGCTGAGCGGAGCGCGGAAACATGCCAGCGTGGTGACGGGTCTCCGCGCCTCTCCCCCCAGATGTACAATTTTACCAGCTTCACCGTCAGTCTCAACGAGCTACAGAGTGGCATGGAGAAGACCCTGGCTCCCACGGACTGCCGCCTGCGCCCCGACATCCGCGGCATGGAGAACGGCGACATGGGTGCGCTCGCGGGCCGGTGGGGGCGGGGGGCGCCCGTGCTGCAGGTGGACAGACGGGGAGACCGAGGACAGTGCATCTCGCACTCTCCGAGGTGGAAGAGGTTTAGAAATCCCAGCCTGCTGCAGACCAGTCCCCTTGTGGGTAGGATACGATTAAGTTACTAGAAAAATGAAGGACAATGCGTGCGAAACACGAGTCCCCCGGTTCTTCTTACCAGCGAAATTGGGGTAACGTTTCCAAGGTTGGACGTGTTCTCCGTCCAAAGTCAGTGTAGGACCGCATCCCAGGCCCAGGCTGCTCGCGCACCGTGGATGTCTCCGCGTGACGAGGGAGCGGCCGCACGCCGGCTCACCCGTCCACGTCAGCCGTGCGGTGGGCCACTGGCCAGAGGGCCGTCCCAAGCGGTCCTGGGTTTTGTGGACACGGTCGGTGTCGAGTGGAGGGACTGCACAGGGCAGGGAGACCCCCACTCTCCAGGATCAGTGTCTGCACCTAAACCCGGGACCGGGCCACAGAGCCCCGAGGGTCAGGTTACGCGGGACGGTCCTCTGTGGGAAGCGGCCCCCGCTGGCCCCGGCCCTGCCCTGAGGGTCAAGTCGCCCGTGAGCCTGAGCTTGCCCTTGCATGGTGCTCCTTTCCGAGCCCTGCTGCGCCCTCCTGCGGTGCGGGGGAAAGGCCTGCCTCTCCCCGCAGCCACACTGGGGTCGGGGCTCTGCTGTAGCCTCGTGACCGGGTGTGGTTTGCAGACGACGACGTTTCTGACCAGCGTGACTTCTCACCTAGGGTCTGGGGGTGGGGGCGCTGCCGCATCTGTCTGTTTCCTTCCACCCTCGCCTCCGTTGGTTGTAAGCCGGGAGCCTCACCGTCAACTCTGAGTCCTTACCCACGCCGTGTGCTTGGCCCCCAGATCTGGCGAGCCAGGAGAAGGAGCGGCTGGAAGAGAAGCAGCGGGAGGCCCGGAGGGAACGGGCCAAGCAGGAGGCCGAGTGGCAGACCAGGTGAGGCCTCGGTGGCTGGGAGAGGGCAGTGGCCAGGGCCCCACGCGCACCTGTGGCTGAGCAGAAGCTATTTTGGGGTCCCATTAACGCGGGGCCGCAGCCCCGGGTCTGGCGTGGGTTCCGTGACACAGACGGGCCGAGTGTCCCCGAAGGTGAGTAGGCACCCTGCCAGTGCAGGGACAGGTCCCCTCCGACCCGGGCCTGGCGGTCCTGCCCACAGCGCATCTGACCCTGAGCATTCCTCTCAAATAGGACACAGTTTAAAACAAACCGTAGTCTGAACCAGGCCACCAGCTGGAGGATGACACAGCTTGTGGAAAGGCAGTGCTGTGCAAGGAATGGTGTGTTCAGCCATCGCCCTTTGGCACTGCTGCAGGTTGCTCTTGTCCACGTCACCTGCCACGTGGCACGGGTGGCCGGATAGGCCCCGGCCGGCCCCACGTGGTAGCGTGGAGAGGGAGGGTGTGGAGAGCGGCGCCCGGGGGCATCGCAGGTGGACACACACCTGTGTTCAGACCAGGTGAGAGGGTCACAGACACACAGAGACAGACAGAGACAGATAGAGACAGGGAGCAGACCCTGTGGGCCCGGGGCCTCCTGCTGTCTCACTGGAAAAGCGCGGTTGGTTTGTCAGTGGTCGTAATTACGTGAAAACAGCCCATTCGGTGAGGATTCAGCCGGGTAAGTACCGTAATACTTGGGCATAATTAAAAACATATGTCTGTTAAAATGTTAGTCCTAGCAAAATCTTGGGGTGCATGGGGCACCTGGGTGGCTCAGTCGGTGGAGCATCTGACTTCGGCCCAGGTCATGATCTCACACTCTGTGAGTTCAAGCCCCACGTCGGGCTCTGTGCTGCCAGCTCAGAGCCTGGAACCTGCTTCTGACTCTGTGTCTCCCCCTCTCTCTGCCCCATCCCCACTCGTGCTCTGTCTCTCTCTGTCTCGAAAATAAATTAAAAAAAAACATAAACAATTAAAAAAAAAATCTTGGGGTGGCTTTGAGCTGTTCACTGAGTGTTTTTTATCCAGTCAAGCTTGATGCGCTGTAGGCATTATTTTCTAGGCCTGGTCACGGTCGCCTCCTGTGGCTGTTTTGTGACTAACATTTTTAAAACCATTTCTTTGTGCTTAGGCTTCTGACCTGATTTAAGTTTGCGCTTTCAGTCTTTCCAATATTTGGAATTGGCTTCATTCCAGAAAAAGCTTGAAAAGCATCCACCCTCCTTCATTGTCTTTAAGGAATCGATTTAAAAAATACATTGCAGAAGTAGCGATATCTGGTCCTCAGATGACTCCTTCTACTTTGTGAGCCCCGGGTCCTTCATCGCCTTCAGGATGCGCGCCGGCAGTCGAGGGTCCGGGGGGCTTCCCAGGGCACGTGCCACACACGTGCCCGCGGTGGCGGCCCCATTGCCTCCCTGCCCACAGGTCGTCCCCTTCCCCAGTTAGACACGCCAGGCCTGCTTCCAGGGAAGGAACCAGCACTGTGCCCGTCCTTCCCTCGGAAGGGATAGTGGCCGTTCTCCGCTAACAGCCTAGCGTGTTTCTGTGAAGGCCTTGAGGGTCTGCTGGCGAAGCCCTCTCTGGGCTGTTCGCGGGGACAGTGTTCGAGAGAAAACGTGGTTAATAACTCTCAGCCGCGGCTGCTGCCCTGGGCTGCATCTAAAGCCGCGTGCTGGGGCGCCTGGGTGGCGCAGTCGGTTAAGCGCCCGACTTCAGCCAGGTCACGATCTCACGGTCCGTGAGTTCGAGCCCCACGTCAGGCTCTGGGCTGATGGCTCGGAGCCTGGAGCCTGTTTCCGATTCTGTGTCTCCCTCTCTCTGTGCCCCTCCCCCGTTCATGCTCTCTCTCTGTCCCAAAAAAAAAAAAAAAAAAAAAAAAAAAATCCGTGTGCTGATGCGGTGATGCCTCCCTGCAGGGAACACAAGCCAGGTTGTGTCCACGTGCTTCCTGACCATGTCCTCTGTGTTCCAGGTGGTTTCATCAAGGCAGCAACCCGCACACGGGGGCTCCCGACTGGTTGTATGCGGGGGGCTACTTTGAGCGGAATTTCTCCCGCTGCCCAGATATCTACTGAGGGGCCGGAGTGGCCCCCAGGACCGGAGACCGGACTCTGTCAAGCGGTCACGGCAGAAACCAGCTTTTCCAGCGACTGTGTCCATGGAGACAGCACCATCCCCGGTCAAGGATTTGATTCTAATTAACTTCTGATCGCCAAACATTTTACTACTGTTCATCAAGCTTCACATGGGATCATCATGTTTTCATTAAGGGCGGAAAAGGACAATCCTCTGCCGTCCCTTCACGTGACGGGAATCAGCCCGGCTTGTTACAGCGCCCTCTTCATTGTAAAGTTCATAACGGAAGTAAGTAACCAGGAAGGGTCTTAGTTCTAAGTCCCCCCCGTGTCCCTCCTCCTAACGCAGCGGCAAAGGGTTTCTGAGACTGTCGTGCATTTGAACCAGTAACAGGGGAAGACGGATCTTGAAAGTAACCCTTTGAGGAGCTTTACGGGGCCAGGGGTTGCTTCCTAGATTACGGTAATGCAAAAGTGAAGACTTTCAGAGCGCCAGATGGAATGAAATGAAAAGCTGTCAGATTCTGTATTTTTTACCAGTCTTCAATAATGTAAAGATTACTTTTAAAATATTTAAGTTAAAACTACTTGAATAGTATTTTGCCGAAGAGCAAGGTTTGCATTAATCACCAATCGTATATTGTCCGAAACGAAGCATTACCATGACAGCCTGGGGTGGCCGGAAACCTCGAGAGTCGTGACGGACCTCCCCAGGCTGCTGCCAGCCTCGAAAGGGGCCCCGCCTCTGTCACCGGGGCTTCGTGGCCTCTGCAGGCCAGGCCCGCGTCACAGAGGGTCGCCGTGCCTACGGCAGGTGCGCCCTGCGGGAGGCTCTGAAGCAGCAGCCGCTACGGCCGTGTCATTAAAGCTACTTAACAAAAAGTAGGTGCGTGTCCATCCTAGACACATCCCTTCTGGTGGCTCTTGTCTTTCTGTAGAAGTGTCAACACCACAGGCCTCAGTGGAGCTCTGAACGGAGAGCGTCTGCTGAGCGTGCACGCACTCACGCGGCTGCATGGAGTGCTGGGTTCTCGGTGGCAGGCTGTCGTCATTGTGTGTCCGGGCTTCGACGTCACATCTGTCATTAAAACACTTTTAAAAGCGAATAGTTGTTCTGCAGCCTTGATTCTGTAGCTTTGGAAACCGGAAGTGAAGGTGCTGGGTGCAACCGAGCGTCTGCTCCACGGAGACGGGAGCGGAGCCACTGGCGAAGGGCAGAGGTGTGCGAGGCTTTACGGTTCTGACGCTGTTCTGAGACGGGGTCGTGGCGCATCTGGTCGTCCGAATGGGGACCTCATGCACCTGCGGCCGGGGGCGGGTTCGCTGTCCACGAGGGAGGGCGAGCTGAAAATGTCGAAGGGCACAGTCCTAGGACACGTTTAAAAGGATAGTATTTCGGGCAGTTTAACAACTTCTTGCAGATGAAGCCGTTTCTCGCTGCCACTGATAACAGGCCAACGAGGTTTGCACTTTTGAGTCTGCTGGGGAGGCCGGTTTTCAGCACGCACCGGGCCCAGGCCCCAGAGGAGGAGGGCAGGACGGTGGACACCAGAACATACGCGTTTGTGGGGCCGTCCTCACTTGGCTTATGGTTTTTAAACTTCGGTCTCTGCAAATACCAGCGTGTAAAGTGACTGCCTCAACTTCGTCTCCCTTGGTCATTTCAGATGCCAGAGGTTTGTCTCTACTAAAGATTTTTTTCACTAGAAAATGCATCTTAAAACGCAGGCACCTGCTACCGATGCTTTTGGCCTGTGTGGAAAGTGGTGGCTTCTCAGCCACACGTTGATGTCATTATGGCTTTGCCGTAAGGACCCAGGGGCTTTCTAGAGTAATTTTGTAACTTCGACCGTCCATGCAGCAGGGACAGTGGAGCATACTCTCCCCTAAGCACTTGATGTGATGAGTTTGCTCCCCTCTGAGGTGAGGATCCAGTCTCGCGTCCTTGACTGGGCACACAGTTGTCAGGAGCCGCTGGAGGTTCAGCCAGGGACAGAGAGACACCACGTTGGAATATGTCTCGTGTGCGATATAACCTAATGTCACGGGGCCCCTGGCGCTGACTAGGTTTCATAGGCCACCTGGTGTTGGAGACCGACGGTCCTGTCTGTTTGGGGGCGGGGGGCGGCTGGCACGAATCTGTCCCCAAGCGGCCAGGGTCAGGACGTCACTGGCACCTGGTTGTGGCTCCTGCTCAGGAGGAGGCCCCGGAGAAGCAGGCCCCGGGCCCTCGGGGACATCACGGCATTTTGCCACCCCGGGGTTGCCACTTCCCGGCACGGGTGGGAGGGACGCGTGAGGGCCCAGACGGCTCTGCACAGACACCGGGCCCTAGGAGGGTAGCGGCCGCGTGGGAGTGTTGGCGTGGAGAGCTGGAGCGGCCGCAGGGAGGGCGCCCCTGAGGAGCAGCTCCGAGGGCTTGGCCACCGCGTCCCCTTCAGACTCCTTCCGCAAAGCACGTGGAAGTGTCAGCCCACCGGTCTGCCAGACACGCGACCTGCTTTGGGGACCCGTGTCAGACCAAGCGGGCCTGGCACTGGGGGAGGCATCAAGTGCAGCCTTGGTGGCCTCTGGGGGCACTGGGCAGGCCCAGGCCCGGTGCTGCTGGCCGCGTGTCTGACCAAGCGTGATGCCGACCCGCTGGGGAGGCGCGTCCGGTGAAGCGGAGGCCGTGCCGTCTGCTTGCTGGGTTCTGGTCGGAACATGGAGTCAGGAAATCAGAACAGGAGAGGAATGCCAGGAGGCTCCCCAAGGTGCAGGCAGCCCTCCAGGCGGCCCTGGCCACAAGCCTCCTCTCGGGACACTGGCTCTTTGGGAAAGAGTGCTCCCCAACAGAGTTGGTGACTCACCGGCTTTCCCAGGCTCACGTACGCACGAGGAGCACAGAGCACGGACGTGCTGATAAAGTTCCCAGTTGGGAAGCACCAGTGGCCCTTCTCCTGATCACCCCTGCGTTCCGAGGGGAGGGCTGGGCGGCGAGGAGAGTTCAGTCGGCACGAGGTTCCCGCTGGTCCTGGTCTCTCCCGTCTCAATGTCTGCACTTTCAGACGTCTTCCCGAGGACTTTCTCAGGTCCACAGTGGTGCAGAGATTGGGGTCCCAGATCAGAGCATGTAACCAGACCCAAGGCACACCGGTGGTCTTCGCTCCACCTGTATTACTTTGGGCCTCACTGTCTTTTGCGTGCGTGGTGGGAGGGTTTTGCAAAGTAAAAACTTTTTCGTGTCTCTTGTGTGAGTTTACTGGACAGTCAGCCCTTCCCTGGCTGCACAGCTCCGTCGCCCCTCCGAGAACCTAACGGTCCTGTGTCAGGCAATTCGTAAAGGCCCTGTGGTCTCTGCAGCAGGCGACGACACCCAGACACGGGCCCTTCCTTCCTTGCTGTGCATGTGCTTGGCTGGCCTGCCACGCTGTTTGTCCTGTGTCAGTGTAGCTTGAAAGTGGCAAGCAAGAGTATGGCTGGTGAGACGGATTTATTTTTATGGTAGGTCCTAACTGTCAGTACCCATCCGTGTAAACAGCATCCACTACTCTTGGAGGTTCTCCTTGGAGGACCGAGCAGATCCGTGAAGATGAATGTTCAACCCCAGCTCCAAATACAGATTTCCTTGGGAGTGGGTGGTGGCTGACACTTGCTCTGCACTGAGCAATTTTTCACCGTCCCAGTCATTCTGGCCTCTCTGGAAAGGACTGCAGATCGGCTACAGACGAGTCCCGCGCACGGGTGTCGGATTGGACTGTTCACTCTGTAGGATTGGCCCCGCACACGGATTGCTTCAGAAAACTTTGTCATGGTGGTGGGGGCTCGGGGACACCGTGACACCATTGTGTGGGCACAATGGGTAGGCGAAGGGGCTTGCGTTCTCTGGGAAGTGGGGAGCTCTGACTGACCATCTCTCTTCTCTCCTGGGGATCAGAGCCCCCAGTGACAACAACAGAATGCCCAGAATGTGGTGTGAGTTTGACCGGAAGGTCCATGCTGCCTGGCTGCTGGCCTAGGTGCCCAGCAGCTACGTACTTCGCAGGAGGAGGAGCTGAGTGGAGATGGTCATCCAAATAGCCATGGCGGCTCTGGTCAGAGGGACAGATGGTCCACAGGATGGCAGTGCCTTCAGGATGCCCAGGTGCACGGACAAGGGGCTCCACCAGCCTCTGCCGTATCTGATGATGGGGACCACGGGACACTCAGTGCTGCCAGAGCCAGGCCCTAAAACCGGGCAAACAGAAAACAACCTGATTCAAAACTAGACATTTCTCCAAAGACGCACAAGTGGCCAATAAGCCCGTGGGAACACGCTCAACATCGCTAATCTTGTGGGAAATGCAACTCACGACGACACGGAGGTCCCGCCTCACACCCGTTACGGTGGCAGCTGTCGAGAACAAGCAAAAACCAAGTGTTGGCGAGAATGTGGAGAAATCGGAACCCTCGTGCGTTGTCTGTGGGAACAGAAAACGGGGCAGCTGCTGTGGAAGACGGTATGACAACTCCTCAAAAAATTAAAAATAGAATTACCAGATGATCCAGCAATTCCGCTGTGGTTACGGGCCCAAAAGACTTGAAAGCAAGGTCTGGGAGAGAGACTTGGACATTCATGTCGACAGCAGCGTGAGGCAGCATCGCTGAAGCCTGCGAGCAGCCCTCGTGTCCCCCCATCGGACGAACGGACGAGCAAGATGCAGTCCGCCCGGACCAGGGGCTGTTACTCCGCCTTGAAAAGGAGGGACGTTCTGACGCCTGCTGCCACACAGGTGCACCTTGAGGATGTTGTGCTCACTGAAATCAGCCACAGAAAGACGGACGCTGTCTGATTCCATTGATCGCATTAGGCAGAGTTGTCAAAATGCTGGAGGCAGTAGGGTGGTGGCTGCTGGAGCAGGGGACACGGGACGGGCAGCTGGTGTTTCACAAGGTGACGGGGGCTCTGGAGGTGGACGGTGGTGAGACGTTACAACATCACGATGTATTTACCACCACCGAACGGCATACTCAAAAATGTTCAGATAGATCGTATGTCCCGTGTATCTTATCACAATATAACAAGATTGGAGAAAAGTTACCAGTGGCGTCCAGGGCTCAGGGAAGAGGGAGCGGTGGCCAGGAGGGCGCGGGGCACTTCCGGGCAGGGAGATGGTGGGTCCACACCATACGTTTGTCCAAACCCGCGGGCTGTGTGCACCGAGATGGGCTCTTGGCGACGCCGCATGTCCGTGGGGGCCGCGGGCTGTCACGGCACACCCTCTGCGGGGTGTTCGTGGCAAGGAGGCTGTGCATATGTGGAGAGCGACGGGCTCCATTTTGGTGAGAACCTGTGATTGCTCTGAAAAGGCACACGTCACTCAAAGGAAAGAGAAAAACAAAAACCCACTCGCCAAACCGTGTTCTCCGGTGGCGCCTGCTATCGCCACACCGTCTGTCCTCTGCTCTGATGGTTCTACTCCGCGTGTTTGAATTGCACTCGCGGGAACAACGGTGTGGCTCTCTTCCTGTGTGTCTTGCCGGCCGTGCCCTCTCTGGTGACGCATCTGGGCACGTCCTGCCCCCTCTCTAGCTGCTGTGCCCAGGCCCTGCCGCCTGGCGCAGGAGGAGCCGCGGGGGCTTCCGGCTCTGCTGGGGCTGCCAGGGCGCACCCCAATGCCGTGCTCCCCACGGCGCCCCGCGGCGGGGGCCTGGGCCATGCCTGTTTCTCATTCACATGTCACCGGGCCGGCCCAGGCTCCACCCCCTGCTTGAGGAGACGCTCTGGTTAGTGCCCTTCGAGGCCCCATGCTCTGCAGGGTCTGGAAAGTTCGCTGGTCTCCCTGCGGCTTCCTGTGGCAGCTTTTTAACTTTTCCTGACTTTGAACAAGTGCCGCCTGCCCGCTGGCCCATCTTCGGGGCACCCGGAGCGGATCTTCCCGTTGTTGTCTTTTCTGGCTTCCCCTGAGCTCCGAGAGGGCGGTCATGGTCACAGGCTTACAGCTGCGCCCCTCTCCCCTGTGGTCTCAGGAATTATCAAGGTCCGTGGAGTTTGTGTGGGGGCTCTTATCTGTTGGGATTCACCCTACTAGAAACGAAATGAAGAAAAGTAAAGGTATTTAATAAAAAGACAACGAACTCATTAACA